ATTATGTAATGTTACAAATATGATAGATCAGATCAGTTACAAGTGATCTGCAGCATGCTACATACATTTTTCACATAAGCTTAACATTAGTCAAAGTGGTCTCACATAAGCCACATCATTTTTAATATGCAACTGTAGGAGTTTATTCAATGCTTCATAAGTAACAACGCTTACTTTTAATGAAACAACACACAAAAGATGACCTATAAATGTAGTTATTGTAATTTGTCTCCTTAACACTGAAATTCTTTATCGAATGAATTACAATAAATATTGGTAACATTGCTACAATGAAGTTTAAAGTACAAAAAAATAAATAGGGTTGACTGAAGTACTTAACTCACAAAAACAAATTGCACAAAAAAAATGAAATATAACTCCAGAAAAAAATTATATTATAAATTAGCAACCATTACAGCTGTAGCCTTACAACACACAAATATATATATTATTTTACATAAATATAAAAGTGATTATTGATTATAAATGATATTTTTACAAATGTATCTGTTGTTAGAAATGAATATCTTCAATTAATGTAAAGAAAATGAATGGATGATCAGATGTCCCAGTTTGGCTGAGACAGCCCTAGTTTTTGTAATGTTGTCTCATGTCCCAACAGATCCTTTTTGGACAACCAATCAATCTTGTCAGTAACATGTCACTTTTTTGTATTTGTATTCAGTACTCTGAACCTCTGACAACCATGAATCAAAACATACAATGGTATTTTTAACGAGTTGGAGAAATTATCACACAGCCTGAAATGACTCAGCACAGCTTTTGTTGCTTATCACAAAGTTGGTTATAAGGCAGGTTGCAGAAGATGGCATGATGTCACTTTTGGATACCTCACTGAGTACATAATTTTGCACCCACCAAAACAGAGAGACAATTGAATACAATTGACAGATGCTATTCACAGATGATGTTAAATTTTCAAGTCATGAAGCATCTATTTAAAGGTGAACATGAATGACGGTTGTTCAGAATTTAATGACAAACAAGTTGTTTGAAAAAATTCATTCATCAGAGTTATCTGTTGCAGCAGTAATGTAAATAAAAATACTTCAATTTAATGAAATTATTATTTACACACAATTGATTGTTTATAATTTTCCATAAAAAAGGTTAAGTATCAGTTTTAGGATCTAAAAATCTGAGTGTCCTGGTTTTATGACTTGAAAATCTGTTCACCTACCACATCTGTAAAGTTATATAAAGGTTCAAGTTGTAGAAACTATTACAAACACATGTTTGTAAACAACTCTTAAGCACACAAAAACACTTTGTGTAACAGATACATCAATACTTTTATTGAAACTGAATACCACTAGGTTTGTATTTTTAATAAGTAGTTTTCTTTATCCCACTTGACATAGCAAACTATATATCCCTGTATGAAAATAGAATTGAAGAATACAAAGACAACCATACATTTCACAGATATTTCATATATCTTGAAACCGTTGGCGTGTGGTGAAACTCCATAATTACAGAATTAAGAGAAGCAAGTATTAATTATACATTATATGGTTTGTCATTAGTTTAGTTGTGATAATTCAAGTCTTTCAGACAATCTGAGCTTAGATCCTGACACAATTCTTTAAAACTAGAAACCTTCTTGGTGGTAAGATTCTTCACTTACATAATCTGCATACTTCCATAGCAACATTTCCCAGGTTTCTCATTAGCAATGACAATGGATATTCTCCATTATTTTTATCAGTCTTTTCACATTCATTAAACATATAGTTTTGAATAAAAAAAAAGCACCCAGAACAAATATAAAATTCAAAATTTGTAAGGTCTTCTCTGTGTATGCAACTTTTAACCTTCATCAATTGTAAATAAAGTACACTTTCACATAAAACAATAAATCAATATATATACATCATGTGGGCTTGGTGCATTTAGATTTTCAAAATGCTTCTGATAAATACCACAGAAAAATTTAGCTAAGAAATATCACATTGTACAAATTGCTTGAAAAACCAAAAAGTTATCAAAGGTCCTTTAAAACTGGATCTTTTTAATATTGGTGTGATGGCAATATCATCTTAGGGAGCAAAGAAAAAGGTAAGAAGTGATCTTATTAAAGTTTATTAGATTATTTGAGGGATTTTTTGTGCTATATCCTGAAGACAATCTAATAAAAGGACATAAGTTTTAAACTTGGCAAAGGCTACATTTATTTTTTTAATGAGACAACCATATAGAAAGAGTTGCTGTCAGCAATGGTAGAGACCAGCATCTTACAAAAGTTTCAGAAGAGAATCAATAATTTCAATAAAAATAAAAGGTGGGTGAGCAAAGACAGTTTTCAAGGACTGAATAGTTTCTTGTTGTCCTTACTTTACGTAATGTAAAGTGAGTCCTTTGCTTTACAGAGAGTATTACATCATGTTTTAAGGCTGACAAACATTTATTTATCAATGTACACATATGGAACACTATTTTAAATGTCTTGTATTACTTTCCAGAATTCAATCTGTTTGCCTTTTGATCTTCTCAGTTTTTATACAAACTCATAAAACCTCAAGAATGTTCATATGAAAACTGTGCAGGATAAGCCACAGTTGTAAGTGTTTCAACATCTTTTATCAACAGTTTTACCACATTTGTTGTATGCTTGGGATCACTTACTAGGAAACAAAACACACTCAATGAGTTGTATTCCTGAGTTAATGGTATGATGATTCAGAATTTGTTTGTACTTGTCAACGGTCAGGGTGCCATCAGTTTTATATATTACAAACACTTTTAGCTGAAATGCAGCCCCAAACTTGTATTGATTCCCCACAGAACTTCATTCTCGATGTTATACAATGACTACAATACCATTCTCCTCTCTGCCACAAAGTACATGCTGTTAATAGTTACCAAAAAATTCAAACTTGGATTCATTAGTAAAGAGCACACATCTCAAGCTTTGCTTATTTTACTGTTTGTGGTCCAACACCCATTTCAACCTTTTGGGTTGCTTTCTAGTACCTACACATCCATTAAGACCACTGGATGACAAATAATCACAATGTAAACAAGCAACACCGCAGTTCATTTTCTAATGATGAAAGCTTTGTATTCCCATACTACTTGTCTTTTATACCATTTTTCTCATACTTTTCATAATTATTTCCAATACTGTATAATTGAATGTTGAAGTTACAATAAATTAAAAATTATTATGCACCAATGTATATTAATGCAACATTTTTTATTTTATTTTTTACTTTATAATACCACTCATACTAACTGAACATCCAAGGCTGACTGTCTTGACTGTTATCTTCATTTGTAACCATTTATGTTTTCCTAGCCACTTATCCTTTACTTGTTGGATGATGCCAACTATCCTATTGCTGTCATACTTGGATCTCCATCTCTCAGATTTCAGTGGTTGATGTTGCTTGTGTATTACAACTTTCTTGCTTGGGTTTGTTATACCAAGTCAATGATTTATTATGAAAAGGCTAACCAGCAGTATTTACACATCAGTAACCAATATTTCCACAACAAATAATGTAAAATCATGGTTAGTTTTGTACATTTATATTGATAATGTAGATCAGTGCTTCTCAACCTTATCCAATATCATTCACTCGTACATGTTTTTCACAACAGCTCACTCCCCCACCCCACCCCAGTTGAAAAAAAAAACAAAAAAAACTCAACTAAAATGTAAAGTTCTTTATTATGACTTAGATATACCTCAAACTACAACTGGAATGAATACAACAAAAAATAAATGTATTTATCAAACTACGACCAGAATAAATAATTACAACTAATAATTTTTTCACTTTTGAATTTGTTAATTTGTATAATTGATAATACTCATTCACCCCATTATTCTCATTAACCCCTGGGTGAACCATTCACCCAGTTGAGGAGCACCAATCTAGATCAATACAAATTGCAAGAGAGCTGTACATATAGGAATGTTTCACTGGATTTAGAGCAATTCCAAAACTCCTGTATTGCACCAGGATACTCAACAAACAGAAATGAAGGTCAACTAATACAGAATAGGAAAAATGTTAAATTGTTTCCAAAAATGTTTTAACTTTATAACGATGAAAACAGAAATCTTTTCTACTTTATGTTTTAAAACTAGGCATACAACTTAAATATGTGGCCAATCAAAAAATGTATTTACAATAATATAGTAGCTGTCTTAATATTATGGCACAAAAAATTAAAATTGGGTAAAATTTATATATGTAACAGAAGTCTCCAGGACTGAAGTTAACAAGATGAATGGGGATAGTATGGATTCCCTAAAGCAGTGAGCTGTAGATACGAGCTACTAATAACTGGTGAATGTGGTATTCATTGCCATGACAGTCCAGAAATGCTTGAAATAGATCCAGAATTCCCCACTAAAATAATGTTACCATCTATAGCTTACAATCAAAGCAAGTTACCTCTAAAGATCATAACTAAATATTAATTTTTTAAGCTTTATTTAAATAATGTAACTAATGTTATAAACTACATGACCAGTATAACTAGCAGTATGTAAACAAATGTACAGGAGTAACTGCCATGACATCATAACATTGCATGATTAGAGGTTTAGGGTTGGCTTGGAGGCAAAATAAAGTGCACTTCACGCTTGTGTCTAGGTGTTCAGTTTCATTTTGTTTTTGCTTTTTCAAGTTCCTGAGCAAAGATGAAATCTTGTGTTGTTGTAGAGTGCACAAACAGATGTAGCATGCAGAGAAGGATTTCTTTCATAGATTTCCATCCGAAAAAGATGTCGATAGAAGAAGAAAATGGATTACAGAAAAGGTTGGCAACTGAAGAAAGATTATCATGTTTGTAATCAAAATTTCATGTCAATTAAAAAAATTTCAATTTCTACATCATTCCTACAAGATGGGTGAAACGTGGTTATACAGGTGTAATAACATCAGAAAGATGTGAAAAATTTTATTAAATTAGCCATATATCAATTGAATAACACAAATGTCAATGTAAAACTAAACACTGAAATATCATGTATATCTGTACACCAACATTCAGTTAAGAAAAAGAAATAATTACACAATCTACATTTTTATAGCATGCTCAAGGAATACCATCAACAAATAGGTATTTATAAATTTAAACCTATCAATCTATACAATTAAAATGGTTTTATATGTCAAAGACATGGTCAAACTAGCTTTCACAAACTATTACCCATTACAACAATTATAAATTTTATCATAACTTTGTTATAGTGATATATATATATATATATATATATATATATATATATATTTTATTACTTT